CCATGTCCAAGTGGTTAAGTTCGCGCACTCCGCTACAGGCGGCCCAGTGTTTCATTGGTTCGAATCCTGGGCGTGGACATGGCACTGCTCATCAAACCACGCTGAGGCAGCGTCCCACATACCACAACTAGAAGGACCCACAACGAAGAATATACAACTATGTACCGTGGGGCTTTGGGGAGAAAAAGGAAAAAATAAAATCTTTAAAAAAATTAATAAATAAATAAAATAAAAGAGGCCCTGGAGAGATCCCACGCCCCTTCCACCAGGCAAGGACACGGCAAAAAGGTGGTTGTCTATGAACCAGGAAGCTCTCACCAGACACTGAATCTGCGGGCACCCTGATGTTGAACTTCCCAGCCTCCAGAACTGTGAGAAATAAATTTCTGTTGTTCATAGCTACCCAGTTTATGGTATTTTGTTATAGCAGCCCAAAGAGACTAAGTGTCAAAGATATATAGTCCTCCCAAGAGATGAGTTAACTTCATAGAACTCAGTATTGCATATCTTAAGACAGTGACCTAGTATTTCGCCAGTGATTACCAAAACACAGACTGCTTTCTTCCAAACCAAGAGTGAACAATGCAAATCCTAAGTGTTTTTGTAAATAACCAACTGATTTGGACAAAGAAGAGATGCAGCTATTACTTCTCACTCAAAGAAGTCAATCAGAACTCCAAATTTGTCTTTAGAAGAATTACTGAAATGGGATGTTTGTAAAGTGCTCAGCAAAGCTCCTGGAAGAAAAAATAAACTCTAAATGAACAATAGCTATCATTATCATCACATGTAGCTACTTTGATTAACAAATCATTCTAAAACATCCAGACAACACGAAAACATTATTCCTAAAAGTTATCCCTCAAAACTAGTAATAAAAAGAAGAATGAAGGTGATCTGTAACTGAACATTGCCATTAATCACATTGTAAAGGAATTCTCGTGTTGGTAGGGATATGTAGTAGGAAAAGATGGTTTCTTTCCTTTAGAAGGCAAAGAATTAATTTGCTTAAAAAAGAAAAAAAGACCCTCTAGAAGTAAGTACATTTAATACACCTTACACAAAATCAATTGTCAGTTTTCTTGGTGCTGCCCACAAAGAAGGGAACCCTTGGCCTCCAATCAGTGAAGCTAGAATATCTAGTTGCTTTCTAAATTTCTCAGAGAACAAAGTTTCTTCAATATATCTGAAGAGAGCTTCTACAGAAATGTGAGTCTCAAAAAATCCCCCAAGAGGTAATGTCTCTCACACGAGCACATGAATAGACAACCTTAAAAAACCACTAAGTATTTTCAAAGAGATGTTAATAGAAAAAAACGTAAATTTATCTTAAAAGATTAAAAAGCTAGTAGAAAAATCAACATTTGAGAGTCTCTGAATATTTGTAATATTTCCTATACAAACCAGTTAGCTTTACGAATAAGTGAGAATCCAACTAAGTTAAAATTCAAATATGACTAAAATGTACCCACATTATCCAAGTATGAAACGTCCAGTGCCTGAAGCTGGCACTGAGGACCTTCTGTGAAGCAGTGTAGTGCTGCAGCCAGACAGATCAACCTGGGCCATGCCCACTCCCACCGCCTCAACAGCCTGACTCTCGCTTCCCTTTCCTTAAATGGAGACAGCTTTCCCATCTGGTCTCCAAAGGATTAACTGAGATATATAAGGCCTCAACTCACATCTACCACCTAAGAGAGCTGCTCTGATTACCTTTCCAGCCGCATCTACTGTACTGGCCCTCATGTACTCTGCTGCTCTACACAAGGCCCTCCCAAGGTGTTCTCTTGGCCACGATTATTTTTCCCTAGACCTCTCTCAGGCTCACTCTCCTCTACCCTTTCCAAGGATAAACCTTCCGCCCACAGCAGGCATCTTACCACACCCACACATCCAAACCTTGTGATTCCTCACGCCCAGCTCAAACCTAAATCCTCTCAAATCCAACACAAACATTACCTCCTCCATAAAGCTCCCTAATTCCCACAGATCAATGTTTTTCTGTCCTGGCTGCATCCAATCACCTGGAGAATTAAAAAAACAATTCCCTGCAGCTTGGGCCCCAGCCACATGGACTTTGTTGGTCTGAGGTCGGGCCCAGGCACCAGCTATGGACGTGACCTCTTCATGCTCTGAGACCCCATAGCGGGTCACCAGTGATTCCTTTCCCACACTTTGTACTTTCCAGCCCATGTTTTAAACTACATACAAATTGTATTTAAACTATAAACTCTGGGAAAACATCTGTAAATTGTTGTTATATTGCTTATTATGGTTGGAGAAATTGCTCTTCGAAAAGCATTAAGTACTCATTAGCAGTCCTAATTTTAATACAAAGTAATACATGATTTTACATGGGTAGTTAAAGAATTATTGGTATTTCCTAACTACAGACAGGTGAATATTAAACCTAAGAAAATGCTCAGCCCAGAATAGAATGCACATTAAGGACACAACATATGAGTAGGGTCCATCTCAGCTTCTAGCCCTTTCAATCACAAATAGAACAATTATTGAAAATAGTCATCTCTGCAATGAAGCTATACAAAAATAGAGACTTATCTTTGAAATGTGGCTATTTTTTTATTAATCTTCCAAGGCAACGATATCCAATATACTGGTTTCAAACAAACTGTTTCAAACAAAATTCAGTAATTCAAATAAAAGTATTTTTGTGAAAGCTTAAAATCAACTGGGAAGCTATCACCTTGCTAATCTCAACTACTTCTTGTACTAACAGATAACTAGGCTACCCAAACAAACTGAAATTTATATATTTATTTGGAAAGCTTTATATGATTACAACAAAGTTAAAGTCATCTAGATACACTAATTGTATACACTACAGAGTACATTGAAATTAGGCAAAAATGATTGTATACAGTAATGATTATTACAATTTCACCTTCTAGATGAAAGCAAAACAGAATAATGTAAGCTCCATTATTTTTTTTTTCTTTTTTGAGGAAGATTAGCCCTGAGCTAACATCTGCCACCAATCCTCCTCTTTTTGCTGAGGAAGACTGGCCCTGAGTGAACATCCCTGCTCATCTTCCTCTACTTTATATGTGGGATGCCTGCCACAGCACGGCTTGACAAGCCCTGTGTAGGTGCGCACCTGGGATACCAACCAGCAGACCCCAGGGCCACCAAAGCGGACTGCGCACTTAACCTGTGAGCCACTGGGCTGGACCCTGTAATCCCCATTATTTTTAAGCAAGCCAAAATATTTTTTCTTCTAACTTTGATACTTTCTCTATTTTTAAGTTGCATTAACACTGCAGTTTTCCCAGGTGCCACAGAACCATTTCACATCATCAGCCCTCAACAGTCTATGATATTAAGGGAAAACGGCTCTGGATCTTATCCTATAATAATGTGCAATTCCCTCAGTTTTTAATCCTTTAAGAAATACCAAAGGATGAACTCAAAATATTAAAAGCCCTTTCAATAAGCCTGACGCAAGACTTGCCTGATGGCCTGATCAACCTGCCAGAGTAGCAGAGGTTCTGCTACCCTGTAAAAAATCTTATTTTGAGACTCTTAGATGTATCAGACCTTAAAAAAATCAGACAGGGAGCTTAAAAAGATTTTAATGAAAGTATTTTCTCTTATATATCTTTTTAACAATGCGATTGCAATATAACTAATAAGTATGGATGCAAAGACACCACGTTGCAAGTACACTAAAGTGTAGGAAGGTCAGAGAAGTGTGTCCTGAACTTAAAGTTCCTGAAAATCGAGGTTGCTCTGCTACAAAGCAAGTGTCATTGCAACATCAGATAAACTTAGAGAGATGAAAGAGAACCATAACTCCGTAGTTAGAGAAAGATGGACGTCAGCGCAAACTTGTTTGTTACGTATAAAGTTACTCCTCGCTGTGTCTGAGGCAAGAGAGTTGTGGCTCTTCGTAACGTCGATATTCCAAAACCAGGGCAAGTGCTCCGCACACACAGTAACCAGAACCAGCTCTGGCTTCCTTCCCTGCGCCCGGTCCCACCACAGGGACCTCAACGACAACTCTGTCCGCCACTGTAAGGCGGCGACTGAGAAAACTCGAAGTCTTCCGAGCAAGGCCACGGGAGAAAGGTCAGCCACGAAAGCTCCCAGAGAAGTCCTGCCCTGCCGCTTGCCTGGCGTCTGAACTGACCCCAGCAGCCCTTAAATCCCTGACGTTTCCCCAGGTAACGCCCCACGCCCGCGGCCCGGGGCCCCTGCCTTTTGCGCGTATTTATTAGAAGACAAGACTCGGCTGGCCGCTGCACTCCACGGGGAGCTCCGAGCAGACCCGATGCCCCCCGACCGGGGCCGCCCCGCGCCACCCGCCCGCTCGAGCCACGCTGCAGCGGGCCCGCACTCACCCGCCGCTCGCCCAGATACCCACCCTGGCGGCAGCTTCAACTCGGAAGCGCAGCAGGCTCGCCTCCTCTCCCAGGAAGCGACCCCCGCCTCAGCTCCCCTCAGAGCACGCTGGGCGCTGCCATTTTGACAGGAGAGCGGGCCTTGCCCCCGAGGCCCCTCAGCCGGTCGCCCTGAGCGGAGCCGGAGCGCCACAGAGGCCCTGCCCCGTCACCTCCGCGCCCCCGCACCCCAGTGCCCCCCGCGCCGAGCCACCGAACGAGCGCGGCCGGGGCGAAGGCACCCCCGAGACCCCGCGCGCCTCTCAGGCAGCGCCGAGGGCGGCCTCGCCGGGGGGCGGGGCGGCGGCCAGGCGCGCGCTCGGTAACCCGGGCAACGCGGCCTCGGGCCTCGCGAGGCGCGACCTGGCGCTTGCCTCTGAATCTCGCTGTCCCCGCCGGCACGCGGGCAGTTCACCAAGACTGCCCCTGACGGGCTGTACAAGGAGGGCGGCTCAGTGCCGAGGCGCCGCCAACCCCGGAGCCCAGCCCTTTCCCCTCGGGGGCCCCTGCGGCTCCGCCCCTCCGCCGCTCCGCTGGCCGCTCCGCGCCGGAGCCTCCCGGGGGGGCGGGGCGGCGAGCGGAAACACCTCCCCCTTAGCTGCCCGGGGCCCGCCTGCGCACGCCTCCGAGTCGCGCGCCGCGCCGCTGCTCTCCTATGCCGAGGCTCTGCCTCCCGCAAGAGCGAGCCCGCGGCGCTGCTCTCCATCGCCGCTTTCGCAGAGACTGAAGTTTGGTGGGTTGGGTTAAATTCGGGACCTCCGCGAAGAGGACCCATTTACTTTTTTTTCTTTCCAAAATGGCAGCCTCCAGCCGCGCACAAGTGTTAGACCTGTACCGGGCGATGCTGAGAGAGAGCAAGCACTTCAGCGCCTACAATTACAGGTGACCCGGCGGGCGGCGGGGCCAGGAGGTCGGGGGCGCCCTGGGTGCAGGGAGCCCCTGTCCTGGAACGGTGCCCGGGAGGCTTCGCCCCAAAAAGGGTGCCCTTGCCGACATGTGTGGCCCCCTGAAGCCTCGGGGGAAGGGCAGGGGGCTTGCCCTTGGTTGTATCAGAGGAGACGTTCAGACCTCGTGACGTTTTCCGCCGAGTGGGATCCCGGGGTCCCTGCTCTGGGCGCATGCTTGGTGATAGGACAGACGTGGACGCTGCGGGCGCTCAGGTTAGGACCGGGTTGTTGCACATCTAGAACTTCCCAAAGAACTGGCAGGGGGGACTGGATGTGACCGGGCGGCAGCACATGTCCAAAGCTGCAGGCTCGCTTCTATCCCTCCTTCCATTTCCTGGGTGTCTTCATTAGCTTGTTTGGTTGCAAGAATCCAGTCAGTTCTGCTTAGGGCATTGGCTCCGGAAGGGGCGGGGGAGAACGGGGTTTGTAAGGAGGCACAAGTAGCGGTAAAGGAAAAAAGGTCTCACCAGCTTCCAGGAGCTGAAACGTTCTCTGGGCCTCCTCAAAGTGGGATACAGCGTCAAGGATCTTAGCAGCAGGAGAGTGAGAGTCTAAACTCTTACATCCTTAATGTAGCACACATCTTTTTCCATGCCTGCCCAGTTCTCACATTTGCTCTTAAATCCGGTATTCATGTTCTTGACTCTTTATGTTTTGTCTACCTTAGAGCCTCTGTTTTCTTTTTTGCTTCCTTATGACTTTCGACCCATCGTTAGTGTATGTATTTTATGGATTTTCTCTGCGTTTTTTCCAGATGTGGTGTTTTCTGCTAACTACCTGATTCTCTCTGAGTTTGAGCTATATTCCCAAAGCAAGAATCCGATAAGAGCAGCTCATCCCTTCACAGCAGGTCTCACTTTTGGTCACTGGCCAGCCTATGGATTGGGTGTCCTGGGAGCAGAGCCTACCCCTGGAACAGTGCTAGTTAGATAGGCCCCTCCCTCCCAGTAGGTCTATGAGCTAGCTGGCAGGCCCCCTCATGAGTAGACCCAATACAACCTTGGTTATCCCCTAGAACACTAAACCTCTCAAGCAGTGACTGTCTAATTTTTAGATTCTTGTCTAGAAAAAATACTCTTCTCAATTCAAGAGAATGACAATCTAGGTCATACCAATGAGGTCATATCCACCCAGTCATGTGCTTAAAAGAAACATTTCATGGAAGAGCATGCTTTTGCTTAATGACTTTGGCTTTTGAAAGTAAAGTTTGTGAACAGCAGAGATACCGGTGGAATTTTTAATGAAAAATTAACCAAGTACTTGGCACCAAGAACTCAACCCCATCTGTTGAAGGAACCCACAAAATTTGCAAGTGAATAAGTGGAAAGAAATAATTTTCGCCACAGTCTGGAGGAAGATATTTTGTCTTTTAAATTTACTGAGAAGAAACAAGAACTGAGAATCAGCTGTGGGTCACACACTGGAGACACAGCGGCACGGTTAGGGTGGACATGAGAGCACGTTGTAGAAAAGTGGAGTAGGAGCCCTCAGAATAATATAACCCTGGACAAGTCACTCAACCTGTGTTTCAATTTCCTTGTTTGTAAAATTAACCTGTTGGACCAGGTCAGCTCTAAGAACCTTTCCATTTCTAAAATTCCATTTGGAAATGATTTATGAGCCAGATGATGAAATCCACATATAAGGCTGTTTTTACCAAGTGAATAAATGCCAAGTCAACAGGGGTAACTGCAGGAAAATCATTCAAAGCTGTAGCTAGTAGGCAGGGAATTGGAAATGAGTTTCTATATGAGCCACTATAAGGTAATACGCATGTAGAAAATGATTGTTCAAATTATCCTTTGAGTAATGCTTTTGAGCTAAATTTATTATCCACATGTAAATATATTATCCAGAGGAATCTGGTAATCGTTTTACACCGTTTGCTGAAATCGTGGACCTGAAACCTGAGATTCCCACTCGTATCATCTCCTGCGATAATAAAATTACTTGTTATAAAATATATTCTTCTGTATTAAGGCTATGTCTTGCAGATTTCAAAGACAACCCCTTGCCCTTTGTACTGCTCTCTCTCTCTGTCATGCCCTTTAATAACTTTGTCTTGATTTCTTCCTCTTCCTTTGAGATTCAGCTCAACAATGACCTTCTCAGGACAAAGGTTTTGCTGATTCTCCTGTCCACAGCCCCCAGCCCCATCCAAAGAGGTCCTCTTCCTAAGTGTGCTTTTACTTCGGTGCTTCCAAAACACTTATCTGAAGACTTCTTTGCCCAGTGCCATGCCAGACCATGGAGATAGAAAGATGAGAGCCTTGGGCTCAGCAAGGCACCTACCATCAATGGCTTTTTTACAGACCTCTGGGGAACACTGTCATAGAAATCATTTTCACTGTAAAGTGCTGTGACAGGTATGCACTGGGTGTAGAATCAAGGACATTTCCCAGAAGATGGCACTGGATCAAAGGAATGAAGCAGTGTAGTGTGCTCCATTAACAACAAGCAGTAGAAGATTGTTTAATTTCTGGAGAGTTAAGTGTGATTGCATGGTGGGAAGACAAGACTGAGGTTGGAAAGGGCCACATATTCAGTAAAGAGCTTTAGCTCAAAGTGACGTGGCTAGATTTGCATTTTAGGTAGATCACTCTGGCAGCAATGCAGAAGATAATTTTCAGTACTATAGACAAGGACACCAAATGGGAGTTGATGACAACAGTGCTTAGGAGAGATTGGGGCACTGTTGAAGGTAGGAATAGTGAAAGATAGAAAAGAAAGACATATTTGGTAAATAATTAGAAGGTAAAATTGTTAGAACTCTGAATGATTGGATTCACGAATAAGGGAGCATCCAAGCAGAGTGTAGAATGACATCCATGTTACTAATTAAGCTGAGGCACAGAAAGGTTAAGTGTAAAAGTTGTGCCATTTACTGATTTAAGAAATGCAGAAATAACTGGTCTTGTGGAGAGAAGACTTGAGATCGTTTTTGGGACATCTTGAGTGAATGTCGTCTGGGATGCCCAGCAGGGACAGTTATTCAGAAGAGTCTACAGTTCAGGGAAGCAGTCAGGGCTGGAGTTGTCATCACCACTCACTCGCTTTGTGACCCTGGGTAAGTCACTTGATATCTCTGTTTTGCAATTTCTTCATCTGTAAAATGGTTTATCTCATAGAATGGTAAGGTTTAAATGAGTTAATATATGTCAAGTGCTTAGACTTGTGCCTACCACAGAGTTGGCACTCAATAAGTGGAATTAAAATCTTGATGTTAGGTGAAATTTCCAGGAGGAGTATTTAGGGCAGTTGTTCTCAAGCAGGGGCAGTTTTATTTGACACTGTCTGGAGACATTTTTGGTTGTCACAACTTGGGTGGGAGGATGCTACTGGGATCTAGTAGTTAGAGGCCAGGGATGCTGCTAAGCACAGGATAGTCACCATAACAAAGACTCATCGGGCCCAAGATGTCAAATGTGCAAAGGTTGAGAAATCCTGGTTTATGGTGAGAAAATTAGTGGCCTAAGGATGCTGTTCTAAAAAACATCAAAATTTAAGGGATTGGCCAAAGAACAACCACTAAAGGGAGCCAAGAAGACACAGTCTAAGAATGTGGCCCTCAAACTTATTGGTCTCAGGATCCTTTTACATTCTTAAATGTTACTGAAGACCCCAAAAAGCTTTTGTTTACGTGGGCCATAATTATCAATGTTATGTTAGAAATTAAAACATTTTAAAACACCTATTTTTAAATGACTTAATAAACACATTAGATATTAACATAGATAACATTTTTATGAAGAATAACCATTTTTCTTCCCGCAAAATAATCAGTGGCAAGAGTGACATTGAGGTTTTTGCAAATCTTTTTAATATTTGGCTTAATAGAAGATGGCTGGCTTCTTATATTTTTCCCCCTAGCCTGATGCTGTATCACACATCATCTAGCATCTGGGAAATTCCCCGGTACGCTCATAAGAGAATGAGAGTGAAAAAGATCCTATCTTCTTGGTATTATGAAAATAGTTTTCCCGATGGATCGCCTGTAAGGTCTCAGAGACCGCTACTGGTCCCTGGGCCACACTCGGGTAACTACTCTAGTGTCTGAAAAGCAGGAAGAGAACAAGCAAAGAGAGTAGTGTCACGGAAGTCAAGACAATCAGTTATTTGGGGAATGTGGCTGTGGTCAGCAGGTTCACTTGCTTTGGCAATGTCCGGTAAATAAAGGGGGAAATGTGGTCCCTGGATTTGGCAATATAGAGATCTCTGGGGACCTTTACCGGAGCAGTGTTAGTGAAGTGCTTAAGGCAGAACCTTTGAGGGTTGAGAAGTGAATCAGAAGGAAGTAAACTGCCCCAGTGAATGTAGACCCCCCCACCAGGAAGTTTGGTTAACATGGTACAGGAGTGTGGACAACCTCCAGAGCAAGACCCCACAAGGGGTGAAAAGTGGTGTATCTGCGAGCACAGGTGGTAGGATTGGTCTCGGAAAAAGGAGGAACACTTCCTTTTCCATCAGTGTAGTGAAGGAGGTCAAGATAAGTTGGAATGTAAGAGGATGGGAATTTGAGGTGATTCCTGCCAAGACTGACAGCCAGTTTCTGGATAAAGTAAAAGATAAGTGGATGTGAGGAAGAACCATGTTCTCGTATTTATTATTACACATATCAAACACTTATAGTTGTTGGTTTGTCGCTTTGCCATTTGTTTCTTGAAGGCAGAAATTCTGTCTAATCTCTATTCCTAGTGCTTAGCACAATACCTGCCTAGTATATGCTTATAAATATTTGTTGTTGAAAAGCAAAAGGAAATTTTTTCCAGAGGTAATTTTTATTAGCCATTTTCTCCTATAGATTAAAAAAATAGATTATTGTAAATTGTGAGAAAGGGCAAAAGTAAAGCCCAAATGCTTACCAAATCGATTGTCAGAACTCCTTCATTCTTCATTAAATATTTGAGCCTTTATTATACTTCTTTGACACTAAGC